AGTCGAATTCGCTCCGGACGATACAGGCTTCTTCAGCAACATATTCGTAGTCCAAAAGAAGAAGACAATTAAACACATTCGTAACCTACAGACATTTCAAGATGGAAGGCATCTACCTCCTCAGAGACCTGCTACTAGAATCTGACTGGTTCACTCGACTAGACTTGAAAGACGCTTATCTGTCTGTCCCGATAGCTCATGCCAGCCGACCTTTCCTCCGCTTCTGCTGGAAGGGTCGCACATGCCAGTTCACATGCCTACCATTCGGCCTCAGTTCAGCCCCGTGGTGCTTCACAAAACTGTTGAAGCCAGCCATGGCGCATCTAAGAGCAAAAGGTATCTGTTGCCTGATCTACCTGGACGATATTTTGTGAGAGCGCATCCAGACTTCGGTCTCAAACGAGGTTTATAGTGCAATTTCTGGAATCTTTAGGCTTTATTGTGAACAGAGAAAAGTCATCACTCTCTCCATCGAGAACTGTCCAGCTCCTAGGATTCGAGATAAACTTGAGAACATGCATCCTATGCCTTCCCAAATCGAAGATTGCGAATATTCGGAAGGAGATACAACAGGTGCTACGGAAGGACACAATCCCGCTACGCCTCCTGGCCAGGGTAGTCGGGTTACTGTCGTCCTCCATACAAGCAATCTTCCCAGGACCCCTCCACTACTGGGCCATGCAAAGATTGAAAGCTCACCACCTTCGACCTGGACACTCACATGGGGGGGTCACGGTCAACTTGGTGGATCCTTCACATGGAAGCCTGGAATGGCAGAGCCATATTTGGACCGGACTTCATACTAGAATCGGACGCCAGCCTCTGGGGCAGGGGAGCACATTGCGCACATGCATCCACAGGGGGACCTTGGTAGGAAGAAGAGAAACTACTATACATCAATTGCCTAGAACTGATTGCAGGCTCATTTGCGATCCGCAGCTTGGCCAAACACATGTCCAATTGCTGCATACTCCTACGCATGGACAATATATCCGCAATCCAGTACATAAACCACTTGGGCGGAGCCAGGTTGCGAGCCCTGACGGAGGCTACGAGGGAAATTTATCAGTTCTGTCTCCCTCGCAACATTACTATCAGGGCGGAATACCTACCAGGGATCAACAACCTCATGGCAGATTGGTTCTCCCTACACTGGCGGGACGGCAGCGACTGGTGCCTAATCACATCAATTTTCAACATGGTGAGAGCGATCAGAGGAGACCTACACATAGACCTCTTTGCCTCACGAACAAACGCCCAACTCCCAAAATACTACAGCTGGCTACCAGACCCGCAGAGTGAAGCGGTGGATGCATTTCTAATGCAGTGGCCCCCGATCTGAGCCTATGCCTTCCCACCATTCTCGATGTTAGCAAGAGTGCTTCACAAACTACTCATGTCCAAGACGATTATGGTACTATTAGCACCATTAAGGAGAAGTCAAGCATGGTTCCTAGACCTATTGGCATTGTCACAGGATCATCCACTGGTCCTACCATCATTTCCCCTACTCCTTACGAACCCGGAAGAGGAACCTCATCCACTGGTCCCTCAGGAACGCCTGGAGTTAGTGGCTTGGACTCTTTCAGGGGAGCCTGGGCCATCTCAGACCTATTGCAAATGGCTAAAGACCTACTATGGGATTCATGGGCACCAGGTACGAGACGTAGCTACATATCAGCATGGAATACATGGAATCACTGGTGTATGGAAAGGGATCTCAATCCCTTTACGCCACCTGTTCCTGCCATACTAAATTTCCTATCCAACCTGTTCTCTATAGAACGATCATACCATTCTATTAATGTTATACGCTCCGCTATCTCAGCGGCCCATGTTCCAGTTAACGGTACCCTCGTAGGCCAGGATGCCTTGATATGTCGCTTACTGCGGGTCATCAGGTTATCCAGACCACCGGCACCTAAATATAGCAGGTTATGGGATGTGGATTTGGTTATTCGTTTCATCTGCGACTGGCTGGATAATTCGGCTCTGTCACTACGACAACTAGCAGCCAAACTCAAGCTGCTACTCTGCCTAGTTTCCTTCCGTCATGTTTCGGACGTTCGAGCATTCGACGTGGACGGGTTTTCTATAACCTCAGATGGCGTTAAGTTTTTAGTATCTCACAGGACCAAGACGGACTCCACGTCCGTGTCCTATCCTTTTTTCCCGACGGTTCCTCGCCTCTGTGTCGTCACCACTTTACTCCGTTATGTAGAGGTTACTGCTCCTATTCGTTCCTCCAGATCGGGCCAACTGTTAATATCATATGCCAAACCATACAAACCAGTTACCACTACCACGTTGACCAAATGGGTACGGTGGCTCTTATCCCTAGCCGGGGTAGAGCCGTGTTTCGGGGCCCATTCGGTTAGAGGAGCAGCGGCCTCTCTGGCTTTCTCTGTCGGGGCCTCCTTAATGGACATTTTACGTACAGCGGATTGGACCAGAGAAAATACTTTCAGAGTTTTCTATTTCCGCCAATCCTCACATGCGTCCTTATCGTTTTTGCCTTAGCGTTAAAAATGCAAAATAGGAAGCCTCCTGTCATGTGATAAAATTGTAGATTATGCTAACGTAGTGTACCTATAATCTTAATTTTAATAATGACAGGAGGCGAGTATTTTCCTTCCCTTTGTTTGGTTGCTGTTCCCTCCCTATACTCTTAGGTTTTTCTCTTATTATTATTGGAAATCATATGCTATACATTATCTATGACTTAGGTAAATTTGCACTATAGGACGCTTAGATTGCATTTCACTAGATTTTGTTCAGTAAGTTACAAGTTATAAAGCCAGAAAATGGAGGTTAGCGCTCTGTGAACTGATAACAAGAATAAAGTGCACAGTGATCTCAAAAGTGCAGTAATAAGATATAGTACATACACTTAAAATATACTTTTTCCAAAGAGAATTTTCTGAAAAATAAAAGTGCATTTTGTAGATCTACTGATTTTTATAGAAAGGGGTATTTTAAAAACCTGTACCTATTTTAAGTCAGTAGATGTTAATAGTTATATTAATACAGAGAGTTGTCTTTTTAACCCTTGGTTAAGCAACATACCCAAGGGATAATTTATAAGATTAAGACGTAATTGCACAGACAATACAAAGCTTTTAGAACAATCAATCAGAAATTTAAAAAAAAACAGTTTTCTGAGAAGGGATATAAAATGGAATATGTGGAGAGTCAATTTGTGGAAATTTTAAATAAACCCAGGAATGATCTTTGAACGGATAAACCTAAGAACAAACCCACAGGACAAGAGATCAATTTTATATTCAATTACAATTCACAAAGTAGGCTTTTTAAGAAAATTTTAAATAAACACTGGCATATTTTAGAACAAGAAGACGAGTTACGTCCATTTATAGGTACAAAACCTAAAATTGTATACAGAGGGGCTAAGAATCTGAGACAATTTTTAACCAATAGCTGTATAACTAAAGAAACAAAAGAAAAATTAATTTTAGGTTCCGAATTAAAAGGTTTTTATAATTACTACTAATAAAAAATACAATATTAAGTCTTTTATTTCCTGTAATGTAAATAATGTAATCTATCTTATTTCATGTGATTGTGGCATACAATATGTGGGCAGAACTACTAGACCCCTTAAAACAAGAATAGACGAGCATATTCGCAGTATTAAGAAAAAATTTCCTAAATCATTCAGTGTCTGCCCACTTTGCCCAATACCATAATGGCGACCCAAAATGTAAAAATTTTATAGGAATTGAAAGAGTAAAAAGACCTTGGAGAGGGGGAGATTTTATTAGGAGTTTTAATAAAACAGAGATGAGGTGGATTTTTGAGCTAGAGACTTTATCCCCTGCTGGCATGAATATAGATTTTGAGATTTTTAACTATATTTAATGTATCCACCTCTTATTTTTCCTGCTTATATTTTATATATTTTTTCTCTCTTATTACTCTCTTTTATCACCCAGTTTTTTAGTCCTGCAAAGTTCATATTAAAAAAAAACTTTTTTGTTACCTTGGGGTATGTGTAATACAGCTTTAAATAATGATATTGGGGTATGTGTAATACAGCTTTAAATAATAATATATGCACATTTGTATATTGTAATTTATACACATTCTATTCTTATTCTGTGTTCTACACTGTTTTTATGTATGTTATTTTTGTAATTATTGATGCTGCTCTCTCTTTATTTTCTCTTCTTGTCTACCTGCCCATACTGTATTAACCTATTAAAAATGGCCGCCGGAGTACTTCTGTTCATCCTTTTCACATATGTAATAGATATGGACCTAAGAACATTTAGACTGCCAGTATGGGAATGAAATACACCCTGGGAGGTCCCTCAGGGTGTACCAAGATGGCGTATATGTTGCTATTAATCCCTAGCTGAAGCCGGAAGTGATGTGACGGCCCGAAAAATGGGCATGGCCTAAAAGGGGTAGAGCTAATACAATTTTTTTTCTCCAAATAATGAAATAAAAGAGGAGAAAGGAGGATTACATCTTTATGCACCTGATGAAGGCATCCAGCCGAAACGCGTTGTGCGTGAGTGTTTGACCTTGGAAGATTCCTTGCATGCAGCTTGCTGTGTTTTTATATGTAAGAATTTTTATTGATTTGGGAATAAATATTTGGATTGTATCCTTAACCCCTGCCCATTATCTCTGATTACATGTCCAGTGGGGGAGAGCAAAGAAGCTGAAGGAGTACACCTATACATCCTACTTATGTGTATTTACCTGAGCCAGTGTCTATATACAGGCTCATGAAAATGTGAGTAGGATGCAACTTTTCCTTTAATATTTTAGTCATAGTGTGGACATTTATACAGGCTATATTGCCCTATGTTAGCCTTTTTATTTTTCAGAAAATTCTCTTTGGAAAAAGTATATTTTAAGTGTATGTACTATAGCTTATTACTAGTGATGTCCCGAACGGTTCGCGAACGGTTCGCGAACGGTTCGCCACAGACTCATCATTGAGTAAACTTTGACCCTGTACCTCACAGTCAGCAGACACATTCCAGCCAATCAGCAGCAGACCCTCCCTCCCAGACCCTCCCAACTCCTGGACAGCTCACTAAGAATGCAGCTTCACAATGAATGTAAAATGGATGCTGTCCAGGAGGTGGGAGGGTCTGGGAGGGAGGGTCTGCTGCTGATTGGCTGGAATGTGTCTGCTGACTGTGAGGTACAGGGTCAAAGTTTACTCAATGATGAGTCCGTGGCGAACCGTTCGTGGCGAACCATTCGTGGCGAACCGTTCGCGAACCGTTTGGGACATCACTACTTATTACTGCACTTTTGAGATCACTGTGTACTTTATTCTTGTTATCAGTTCACAGAGCGCTAACCTCCATTTTCTGGCTTTATTCTATATGTTTCCTGTGGAATTAAGTGGTTGATTTCACAGGGGTTTTTAGCTGCACTATTCCAATATTACAAGCGCCAACTTACCAGTAACTTTTTCTTTCTATATAAGTTATAAGTTATGACTTAATTCATAAAATTGACATATTGTTATGTTTCATTAATTAGTACTATACGATGTATATTTATTAACTCCAGAGATTATAAGTATACTTTATATGTGGACAACAGTTGTTTTCCACCACCTTTCACTTATTTCTGTTTTTTTCAGCATAACATCCCGTCATGATTCGGAAGCTGGATTAACAGGATTCCCTCAAGTTTTCCAATACAAGTTACCAGTGTTCAAGTTCATTAAAGTTTTTGTTGTATTCCCTGAAGTTTCCATAAACTGTTTACATCAAAGAAAGAGGCAATGAGACTCTTGTCAGGGATTTATATACAGGCTGTGCTGGACTCTGATTGGTTTAAGTTTTTTGATTGATTGATTGTGCTGCTGGAGGCATAAGTAAAGAAAGTTATACAAAATACTCGCCTGCTGTCATTATTAAAATTAAAATTATAGGTACACTACGTTGGCATAATCTACAATTATCAGGCATCATGTGGATATGTCAGGACACAAAATGTCAGTTGTGGTCTTCTGTTCAAGAGATACACGAGACAAACTTTCTCTCCTTTAATTTTTAGTTTTTTAGATTTTTCCTATAGTCTTTATTTTTCAGACCTATGATAATTTGTAAAGTAAATTGTAATACACAATGTTATGAGTGCATTTATTTTATGTTACATATGGTATGTATTATTAGAAAAACAAAGACTAAGACAATATTATTGCATGATAACATCATTTATGATAAAGGAGGAAGCATAATGAATTATTTTTATATCCTTCCATATTTACAAGAATGTTGTGTACAAAACACAAAGCAATTCAAGATTTACCTGAATTTAATTTCATAGGATCTTTACAGCTCACAAGAGTTGATTGAATTTTTCCGAATCTGTTATGGCACACATTATCTATGTGAAAAGTGCATTTTAGAACACGTGGAAATAATTACAGCTGCTATTTCGATGTCCCTGTCTTATACTAATCACTGCATCTGTGCTACTTAAGTTGCTGCCATTTGCTCACTGATGCCTACATGGAAAGCTGCCATGCAATTATAACGTCTGCTAAATTAGAAAGAATCCAGAATATAATATTATTCAAAACACCAAAATTAACTGAACAAGGCTCAAATACATTGTTGTACATCCCAAACAGCATGTGGCACAGAGGCTTTAGAGAAAGCTATTTGGTTTCTTATTTATCCTAATCTTAATCCTGTTGTTTGAATTGTGTTCTATGATAATTTTGCTTTTTTTAATATCTTTACATAATGAACCAGTTGTAGTAACTTATTTTTAGCTTTATGTATTATATTCTTGTATTCAATAACTTTGGTTCTGTCTTTTACCAATGGGTAGTAAAACACATTTTGTTTTTTCTATAGAATTGAACGTCACATAAACAATATTACATTTTATGTCTAACAGGTTTTATTGTGTATTACATGCAACATGTTCAAAGATTATTTGCAAAGCTCTTAATATTTATTCCAGATTACAAATTCAAGGAAATATTCACAATTTTTATGCAATTACGATATTCATTAAATGCAATTCTGAGTCAAAGTTAAAGGGACACTATAGTCACAAGAACAATTACAGCTTATGGTATTTGTTCTGGTGAGTATAATCAGACCCTTCAGACTGTTTGCAGTAAACACTGTCTTTTCAGAGAAAAGACAATGTTTACATTACAGTCTAGGGATACATTCAGTGGCCAAAGCATTGAATTGGCTGAGATCATTACTGTAAGATTTTACAATATTTAGGGGAGCAAGGGAGACAGAGGGCTAGATGGTGTTTTTACCACTATAGAGTTAGGAAAACATGTTTGTGTTCCTGACCCTATAGTGTTCCTTTAACATTTAGCATCAAATTTGCAAGTAACAATAAGCATAATTTGTTGAGTGTGAATTTTATGTAAGTCCAGAAATGTATCAATCACTGCACTGACAGTTTTTTTCCTTAATTTTGAAATTCCACATTTGAAGAGCCCTGTGTTTTCAAGCAAATAAAAGTAATATGCAAGGTTTCCATATACCTAAACCACTGTAGTGGTTGTGCTGCCAGAAGCTGCCTGGTACCCACCCAGTACAATAGTTTGTCAACTCACCTGGTCCCACTGAGCACTCAGACCTGTAGCCTCTGCTTCAGAATTCTCCTTGCAGGAGAGATAAGTTAGCTCCAATGAGCTAAGCATGATCACGCAGTGTCAGTTGACACTCCCAGCAATGAGCATTGCCCTGAATCAGCCATGCTTTAGCTCTTTAAAGACATCTGAATTCTCATTCAGCTTGAGGACCCAGGTAAGTAGTCAAGCTATTCCAAAACAATTAAAAAAAATATACTGGGAGGGTGCTAAGGGTGCTTGCATCCTAACAATTGGCTGTGTGACTGTATATAGAGATTATAAACCACCATTTCAAAGTCCCATTGTGCGAGATTGTTGCAACCAGCCTGTGCCTTGTTCCCTTTAAGTCTCAACTAACTAACTAACCAACTAACTAACGTTTTAATAAATGGATGACCTGTTCAGCTGTTCTCCATGTTATATGTCCCAAACGTAGAATTAAATAATAAAGAGCAGACATCACATAAAGCAATTTAATCTAGGTTGACATCCGTGAATTTCTTGGTGCTTGGAATAGGCACTTTTACAAATGGAACTGGGCATCCCCCTATCTTTCTAGTTAAGAAGTGAATCCCTTTTCAGTTTAAATCGAAGAGGGGAAGATATATGTTCTTCCCACCTACCCAGACCTGTATCTACAGTCACAGGTAGCAAGCTGCAAGTTTATTTTGAGCAAAAGTATTCTCTAGGTTCTACTGTATTTAATGTACAAGGCATGGAAATCATCCAGCATGGTAGCCATTATAGAAGTACATGTTGAGAAAGGTGACTAAAAGAATAAAGCTGTAAGATTCAGAAAAAGGTATGACCCAGGTGTTCTAATGAAGAGCAGTGTTTTTTAGGGAAAGGATTGATCACATAGGAAGTCTAGAAGAAAGGTTCCCTAGGCGTCTTTTACAAAGTCCATGACACAATCCTCAATAATAAACACATTACGGCTATCTTGTTTTCCTGTCTTACATGTTGTTGTTTTTTGTGGAGCTTGTGAAGAACATCACTTAAGAAATGACATTTCTACACACCCAAGATTAACATTGTGAGGGAACTTTGTATGTCAAGGTTTAGAGCACCATTTTTGTATACATAGCATTAGGGAAACAGTCATGTCCAAAAGAATCAAAGCATAACATAGGTATACGTAGGTAACATAGACATAATTATTGAGGGATTAATCAGAAAAAGTAAATAATTATAAGATACTGCATTATTATTATTCCTCTGGAACCATAGGCTTGTAGGTATGGAACACAGCCCTGGAGTAGACCGTAATTCAACCAACACCCGGCCCCCGTTCTGATCAATCTTCCCCACTATATGTCTGCAGATTCAGAGACTTGCTGCATCTGAGTCCATTCCAGGTGGACAACTGCAAGGTGCCTTAACGCACCTCCTAAGATGGCGCCGGTGGTACTGTCTCGCGGACTCCCGCAGACATGAGTGGTTTGTTGGGGCTAGGACCGAAATTACCTTTAGTGGAGGTGGGTATGCGGTGGAAGTAGCCGGAACTGTAGGTGCATGTCCGCTCGGAGCATGCTGCAGACTGTTAGTTGTGGGCAGTGTGTTTGTAGCAGCTAATGCCTCGTGTACCTCCTGTTTCGGACAGAGTCGCTCCAGGACAGCGTGCAGGTATGTTAGGGTTTCGAGACTGCAGGACCCATGTGTCTGCTTGATTCGGAGCTGGGCCTTGCATATCAGGAACATCTGGTGCCAAAATTCAGAGTTGAATTGCTTTTTAAGAGAAAATGCTAAGGAGCCGATGTACTGTGCGTCTTTCCAGCACAATGGTCAGTCCCCGCCCACAAAAACTTACATGTTTTAACCAGCAGTAAGGTGATTTTTTAAGAATAGAAGAATAGTTTGTTTTTTTGTCTCCTGATGGAAGCACTAAATGAACTTGTAGATATGTTTTCAAAAAAAATTTGAATAGATTTCATATAGAGAATTTACACTCCACAGCTGTGATTTTCAATTTTTTCCTTTCAAACCTAATTATTATATTAATATGTTTTATTCATATATAGGTGCTAATGTCATATTACTTCCTGTCATACTTAAGTACAACCTCATGATGTTTATCCTGACCTGTACATTTGATTTAATTTATATTTATGAGATATATTTTCTAACATTTGCACAAAAGTGTATTCTCAGTCCAAACATCCGAGTAGCTGGTGTGGACTTTTTGCTAAGTCACAGATCATTGTGACTCTACAACTTTGTAGGATGTTTAAGAATACTAATTTTCTTAATTATTTGGGGTAGATTAAATAGTAATAGTCAGTAGATACAACCAGAATAATAGACTATAATAATGTATAGTGGTCAACTGTACAATAGTCTTGAATAAAGCCAGTAATAGGGAAAAACACACACAAAGTTATTTACTAAAAAATAATAAAATAAATCTGCAAGTCACTGTATTATATACAATATACTTATTATATACAATTTGATTTCACAATAAATGTTTGAGTGAATCCCTTTGTATGCCTTTACCTTAAAATTTAAGTGTAAGAATACTGGAAGTTAAAGATTACAGAAAACAATGCTAAACAATGTAACACAG